AAAGGCTCTAAAATCCAGAATAGTCCAAATGGGTGGCTGCGACAGCAATGTCTTTGCCTTTTGATGGTGGGAAGTACCAAACTTTGTTCCATGTGCGTATATATATATATATATATATATATATATATATATGCACACACACACATATATACATACATACATACATATAATTACCTTCAGGCTATGTGTACAAAGCAACTATAAAACAAAAATGCCCTGTGTAGACTTGGGCCCCATCTCCAAGATACCTCTTTGCATACATCTTTTTTTTTCAAAATCCAAATCAGTTCTACTCCCAAGCTTATAGGATAAGGGTTGCTAACCTATACTAAGGGTTTGGGAGGATGGTTTGGAGAAAGGGGCATACCTTAGGCAGAAAAGTGTGTTTCTTCTTATTTTATTACTTTTCCTGTGCTGGAGCTGAGGCTCGTGGACTGCTAAGGAATTGAATATGGGTGGCCGTGACAAAGAGATCAGCTGTAAAATAGAGGGGGTGGAGATTAAGGGGGTGGGCTGGGGATGGCAAAGAAGTGGATTTAGGCAATGGGTGGGTTTAAAAAAATAAAGATGGAAGTGGGTAGGCAGAAGATGGGGGTTGATTCTGCCCCACCATCCCTCCTAATCCACCCCCTGCCATTTCCAGCAACCTCCAAAACTACTCCTCAGAACCTTTTATCATAAGGAGGAGACAGTGTGGGGGCAAAGCCTCTCTTCTCCAGAAGGGTGGTGGGAGAAAATAGGGAGTTAATCCTGTCTCCCATCAATCTATTCCCCTGACGTTTCCAGCAGCCCCAAATCCATCCCCAGCCCCTGTTCTATATTCAAAAAGGGGGCTAAAAATGAGGTGGATTCAGAGGGTCAAACAAACAAACCAAAACCAAAAAGCAAACAAAACAAAACATCCCTTTCTCCATTTCCAACAGCTCCCCAAAACCATCCTTCAGACTCTCTTTTTCATCTCCCATTAGACGAGGTGGAATTGGGGGTGAGGGGCAAAAGATGGACTAAGGAATGAAGGGAGGAGACCCCCCCCCCCATTACGAGATGAAAGTGAGATATTAATAATATTTTTTTTTTGTCGTGTCAGGAGTGACTCCTGGTGTGAGAGAATTGGCCGTCTGCAAGGACGTTGCCCAGGGGACACCTGGTGATTTTGATGTTTTTATCATCCTTGTGGGAGGCTTCTCTCATGTCCCCACATGAGGAGCTGAAGCTGATAGAGGGAGCTCATCCGCCTCTCCCCGGATTCGAACCTGCGACCTGTCGGTCTTCAGTCCTGCCGGCACAGGGGTTTAACCCACTGCGCCACCAGGGGCTCCAATAATAATAATAATAATAAGAACAACAACAACTCCAGTTACCCCACACCTCTTCTCCCTGTTTTCAGGAACTGCCCCCAATGCCCACATTTGATCTTCCACTAAAGGCACTAGGTTTAATCGTGAAGGGCAAAGATGGGTTAAGGCAAGAGTGTCAAATCCATTTCCATCAAAGGCCACATCAGCCTTAGGGCTGCCTTCAAAGTATCGTTCAATTCATGGATGGAGAAGCCATGGATAGAGTGGGCCAACAATTTTAGGTCCCCTGATTAAAAGTGGGATATAAATAAACATAATAATAATAGTAATAAGAATAATTAATAATAATAATAAAGCCAGACATCCCATTCCGATTCAAACCCCACTCTCCTCAGGTCCTTTTCACACAGCTGTATAAAATCCACATTGAACTACAGCAGTGTGGACTCAAGATAATCCAGTTCAAGGGAACTGGATTATGGGTGGAAGGGTCCTGACTAAACAGAACAACCACAGCTGTCCAGGTGTTACTGTATCCCAGCTTCCATCAGCTCTAATCATGAGGAGGAATATAGAAGTTGTAGTCCAGCATCTGGAGTAGGGCTACATGAAATGACATAAGGCCCTTCCACACAGCCATATCATCCAGAATATCAAGGCAGATAATCCACAATATCTGCTTTGAACTGGATTATCTAAGTCTCCTTCCACACAGCTGAATACAATCCCACAATAACTTCTTTGAACTGGAATATATGGCAGTGTGGACTCAGATAACTCTGGTTCTGTCCCTATAGATCATCTGCTCAAATCTTCTGGAGTTCTCCAGAGGTTTCTGGTGACAATGCAATCATTCTGTGGATGCATCTATACAGACCCTTTATCTCAGGGTTGATCTGAAGTGATGAATGATGGATTGGCCACAGGATGGTTTTGACGGCTGCTGTGGAGGCGGTAGTGAGTTCTGACTGTCTGGTGATGCCAAGCCCAATTCAGCCCTACTGGACATCCACATTTGGCATCTCCGGTCTGTATTCATCATTGCAGTGGCCAGTGGGCATGCTATAGCCAGAGTGATGTCACCTGGGGTCCAGAATGGTGTGGGAAGGGGGAGGAAGAATCAGCTATCCTTTACTGTTTCCTTTCCTCAATCACTGACAAGCTTCACTAGTCAAAGGGCAATGGATTATCCCATGTTGTACCCACTGCAATGACAAGAACAGTGGAAGGTATCTGTCTGAGCCCAAGTAATATGGGATGGCCATGTAAATAATTGTGGCCAGTTTCACCTCAGAACTAGCCCAACTGCTTACACAGGTTCAAGTTGCAGTCTGCTATAGATTCATGAGAATTTGGAGGAATCTGCAACTTTTGTAAATGAACAAAATCTGGCTACAAAATCTGGTATTTTAAAAAAAAACCTCTAAAATTACAACAGAAAAACAACAGAGGGGAAACAATCAGGCACCTCTAATCACCTCTCAACAAAAGATTGCCCTAGGCACTGCCAGGCCATCAAATGCTAATCAAGGTGGCCAGTTGAAACATTCACACCTAGGTCCAACAGACAAGAGTTCTTTGTCCCACCCTGGTCATTCCACAGATATATAAACCCACTTTCCTAGTTCCAATAAGGAGCCAACGGTGACGCAGTGGGTTAAACCCCTGTGCCGGCAGGACTGAAGACCAACAGGTTGCAGGTTCAAATCCGGGGAGAGGCGGATGAGTTCCCTCTATCAACTCCAGCTCCTCGTGCGGGGACACGAGAGAAGCCTCCCACAAGGATGATAAAAACATCAAATCATCCAGGGCGTCCCCTGGGCAACGTCCTTGCAGATGGCCAATTCTCTCACACCAGAAGCGACTTGTAGTTTCTCAAGTCGCTCCTGACACGACAAAAAAAAAAAATTCCAATAGACCTCACAACCTCTGAGGATGCTTGCCATAGATGCAGGCGAAACGTCAGGAGAAAATGCCTCTAGAACAGTGGTTCTCAACCTTTCTATTGCCATGACCCCTTAGTAGAGTTCCTCATGTTGTGGTGACCCCCAACCATAAAGTCATTTTCATTGCTACTTCATAACTGTCATTTTGCTACTGATATGAATTGTAATGTAAATATCTGATGTGTTTTCATTTACTGGACCAAATTTGGCACAAATACTCAATACACCCAAGAGTTGTAGTTGCTGGGATTTATAGTTCACCTACAAAGAGCCTTCTGAACTCCACCAACAATGGAATTGAACCAGTCTTGGCACGAAGAACTCCCATGAGCAACAGAAAATTCTGGAAGGCCTTGGTGGGCATCGACCTTGAGTTTGGGAGTTGTGGTTCACCTCTATCCAGAGAGCACTGTGGACTCAAACAAGGATGGATCTGGACCAAACTTGGCACAGATACTGAATATACCCAAATGTGGACACTGGTGGAGTTTGGGGAAGATAAACATTGACACTTGTGAGTTGTAGTTACTGGGATTTATAGTTCACCTACAATCGAAGAGCATTCTGAACCCCACCAATGACAGAATTGGGCCAAAGTTCCCACCCAGAAATCCCATGACCCAAAGTTCCCACCCCTTCGTTACTGGTGTTTCGGAGGAGGGTGAAGACGTGGCTCTACGAGCAGGCTTTCGGATAACCATGTAGTAACAACTAACTCAATAATGACGGCATCGGACAAGGAATGGAAAAAGGATCTTGAGATCGGAATCTGATTCTAAGTGTGGCGTTGATGATTATGTGTTTGTCTGTATTGTGTGTCTCATACATTGTTTAGTGTTGCTTTTTATTGTAAACCGCATTGAGTCGCCGCCTCAGGCTGATATATGCGGTATACAAATAGAGTAAATAAATAAATAAATAAATAATAAATAAACCAACAGAAAATACTGTGTTTTCTGGTGGAATTTGGTGACCCTTCTGACACCCTCTCGTGACCCCCCCCCCAGGGGTCCCGACCCCCAGGTTGAGAAATGCTGCCTTAAGGTCAACCAGTACAACTCCCTTCACTGGAGCAAGAAAACTCCCTTCACTGGAGCAAGAAAACATAATCAAAGCCCTCCTGACAAAGAGCCATCCAGCCATAGATATAGATAGATATATATGATTCACACACAGAGAGATATAGTATCATAGATTTGAAAGGGACCCCTAAAGAAGGACAATGATATGTTGCATATTCCAGAGTAGGCAAACCAGACACTCTCCACATCAACACTGACAAAGAAACAACAAGGAATATTGTTTACCCACAAGCATAAAGGAATTACATATATTAGAAACCATTACTTTATTTTCCAGATCACCAGACTGGGCCACAGCAACGCCTGGCAGGGGAAGGCTAGTATATTATATAATGCTAATAGTATAATATACTGGCAATGTATTATATATATATTGTGGTATGCTAATATAATACAATATAATAATAACAATAAGGAAGAAAAGGGATGAAGAGGGGAGTGATGTTATGCAGACCCCAACAATAACAGGACCCCCTCCCTCTTCACCTGCATCAGGAGCCACCCCAAAGGAGCCTCCATCCCACCCTCTCTGGGGCGCCCACGTCGAGCCAGGCCCCTCACTCAGCCTGCAGGCCTCCGCTCAGCCCCACCCAGGACGAGGAGGAGGCCTGGAGACCCCCGGAGGCCCACCCCTCTCTCCGCCAAGGGGAAGGGAGGAAGGCCCGCGTACCCACCGCGTGAGCAGAAAAGGAAGCAGGAGCCCCGGAGACGGAACCGCTTCAGCGCCGCCAAGCTTCGCCTTCTCCGCCGCCGCAGGAACAGCTCCAGTCAGACGGCTCCGCCATGATGGAATGCGGGCCCTCGCGCATGCGCACTGCCGCAGCGGCCCCTCTCCAGGAAAAGCGAGAGCGAGGCGGCCGGGCGCAGCAACCCAACAACGCAGTCTCCTCTCCCCTTCACAGCATTGGAGTTTGTCGGCTGGCATTCCTGTCCGAACATGCTCGGGAGGGGGGATTTCGGATTCAGAAAGTATACAACACAGGCATGGGCAAACTTCGGCCCTCCAAGTGTTTTGGGCTGAAGTTTCAACTCCCAGCCTTTAGCATTATATAACATTATATAGTAAAGGTAAAGGTTGTCCCCTGACATTAAGTCCAGTCATGTCTGACTCTGGGGTGTGGTGCTCATCTCCATTTCTAAGCCGAAGAGCCGGCGTTGTCCGTAGACACCTCCAAGGTCATGTGGCCGGCATGACTGCATGGAGCGCCGTTATATCACAAGTTGTAACGTGTGTAATATATAATCTATTATATTGCAACATTATTAATATGATATATAAGATATTAATAATAATATATTATATTAATATTAATATATTATATTAATATATTAATATTATTACAATATAATGCATTATCAGTATATGTTATCAGCCATATATAATATAGTGTACTATATCAGAAGTTGTAGTATGTATAATATGTAATGTATTATATTGCAACATTATTAATATGAGATATAATATATTAATAATAAAATATTATATTATTATTAATATATTATATTAATACGTTAATATTATTACAATATAATGCACTATCAGTATATAATATTATCAGCATTATATAATATATTGTACTATATCAGAAGTTGTAGTATATATAATATATAATTTATTATATTGCAACATTATTAATATGATATATAATATATTAATATAATTACAATATAATGCACAACCAGTATATTATACTATCAGCATTACATAATATATTGTACTATATCAGAAGTTGTACTATGTATAATGTATAATCTATTATATTGCAACATTATTAATATGATATATAATATATGAGTATCATTACAATATAATGCACAACCAGTATATTATACTATCAGCATTATATAATATATTGTACTATATCAGAAGTTGTAGTATGTATAATATATAATCTATTATATTGCAACATTATTAATATGATATATAATATATGAGTATCATTACAATATAATGCACAACCAGTATATTATACTATCAGCATTATATAATATATTGTACTATATCAGAAGTTGTAGTATGTATAATATATAATCTATTATATTGCAACATTATTAATATGATATATAATATATTAATAATAATAATAATATTGGTGGAGGCTCCTTCTTTGGAAGTTTTTAAACAGAGGCTGGATGGCCATCTGTCAGGGGTGCTTTGAATGCAATATTCCTGCTTCTAGGCAGGGGGTTGGACTGGATGGCCCATGAAGTCTCTTCCAACTCTATGATTCTATGAATTCTTCATTGTGGCCTCATTTTTTATTGGAAGAGACTGGTCACCTTATCGAAGTTGTAGTATGTATAATATATAATCGATTATATTGCAACATTATTAATATGAGATATAATATATTAATAATATATTAATATAATATTAATATATTATATTAATATCATTACAATATAATGCACTACCAGTATATTATATTATCAGCATTATATAATATATTGTACTATATCAGAAGTTGTAGTATATATAATATATAATCTATTATATTGCAATATTATTAATATGATATATAATATATTAATAATAATATATTATATTTATATTAATATATTATATTAATATATTAATATTATTACAATATAATGCACTATCAGTATATTATACTATCAGCATTGTACTATATCAGAAGTTGTAATATGTATAATATATAATCTATTATGTTGTTGTTGTTCATTCGTTCAGTCGTCTCCGACTCTTCGTGACCTCATGGACCAACCCACGCCAGAGCTCCCTGTCGGCCGTCACCACCCCCAGCTCCTTCAAGGTCAGTCCAGTCACTTCAAGGATGCCATCCATCCATCTTGCCCTTGGTCGGCCCCTCTTCCTTTTGCCTTCCACTTTCCCCAGCATCATTGTCTTCTCTAGGCTTTCCTGTCTCCTCATGATGTGGCCAAAGTATTTCAACTTTGTCTCTAGTCTCCTTCCCTCCAGTGAGCAGTCGGGCTTTATTTCCTGGAGGATGGACTGGTTGGATCTTCTCGCAGTCCAAGGCACTCTCAGCACTTTCCTCCAACATCACAGCTCAAAAGCATCTCTCTTCCTTCGCTCAGCCTTCCCTAAGGTCCAGCTCTCACATCCGTAGGTTGACTACAGGGAATACCATGGCTTTGACTAGGCGGATCTTTGTTGCCAGTCTGATGTCTCTACTCTTTACTATTTTATCGAGACTGGACATTGCTTCCTCCCAAGAAGTAAGCGTCTTCTGATTTCCTGGCCAGTCTGCATCTGCAGTAATCTTTGCGCCTAGAAATACAAAGTCTGTCACGGCCTCCACATTTTCTCCCTCTATTTTCCAGTTGTCAATCATTCTTGTTGCCATAATCTTGGTTTTTTATGTTTAGCTGCAACCCAGCTTTTGCGCTTTCTTCTTTCACCTTGATTAGAAGACTCCTCAGCTCCTCCTCGCTTTCGGCCATCAGAGTGGTGTCATCTGCATATCTGAGGTTGTTAATGTTTCTTCCAGCCATTTTCACCCCAGCTTTGCATTCATCAAGCCCCGCACATCGCATGATGTGTTCTGCATACAAGTTAAAAAGGTTGGGTGAGAGTATGCAGCCTTGCCGTACGCCTTTCCCAATCTTGAACCAGTCTGTTGTTCCATGGTCAGTTCTTACTGTTGCTACTTGGTCCTTGTACAGATTCCTCAGGAGAGAGACAAGGTGGCTTGGGATGCCCATCCCACTAAGAACTTGCCACAATTTATTATGATCCACACAGTCAAAGGCTTTAGAATCAACAATAAAACAGAAATAGATGTTTTTCTGAAACTCCCTGCCTTTCTCCATTATCCAGCGGATATTGGCAATCTGGTCTCTCGTTCCTCTGCCTTTTCTAAACCCAGCTTGAACATCTGGCAACTCTCTCTCCATGTCTTGCTGGAGTCTTCCTTGCAGGATCTTGAGCACTACCTTACTGGCATGAGAAATAAGGGCCACTGTACGGAAGTTTGAGCAGTCTTTCGCATTTCCCTTTTTTGGTATGGGGATATAAGTTGATTTTTTCCAGTCTGATGGCCATTCTTGTGTTTTCCATATTTGCCGGCATATGGCATGCATCACCTTGACAGCATCATCTTTTAAGATTTTAAACAGTTCAGCTGGGATCCCGTCGTCTCCTGCTGCCTTGTTGTTAGCAATGCTTCTTAAGGCCCATTCCACCTCACTCCTCAGGATGTCTGGTTCTAATTCATTCACCACACTGTCAAAACTATCCTCAATATTATTATCCTTCCTATACAGATCTTCTGTATAGTCTCGCCACCTTCTCTTGATCTCTTCAGCTTCTGTTAGGTCCCTGCCATCTTTGTTTCTTATCATACCCATTTTTGCCTGAAATTTACCTCCAATGTTTCTAATTTTCTGGAAGAGGTCTCTTGTCCTTCCTATTCAATTACAATTATATAATATATTGTACTAATCAGAAGTTGTAGTATGTATAATATATAATCTATTATATTGCAACATTATTAATATGATATATAATATATTAATATTATTACAATATAATGCACTACCAGTATATTATACTATCAGCATTATATAATATATTGTACTATATCAGAAGTTGTAATATATATAATATATAATTTATTATATTGCAACATTAGCAGGTAGGCTGTTAGGAATTGTGGGAGTTGAAGTCCAAAACACCTGGAGGGCCGAAGTTTGCCCGTGCCTGATACAACCTCACATGCTCATTTATCATATATAGCATTATATGGTCAATGTAGACTCATATAACGCAGTTTAATGCACAGGAGTTGTAGTTTGCAAGGTCTTTCACCCCTGCCAAAGAATGCTGATACCATGCCAACTCACAACTCCAATGACTCCTTAGCATTAAGACATGGCAGTTAGAGAGGTATCAAACTGGATTAATTCCACAGTGTAGATGCTAACTGAGGTCATTGTGAGAAGTCACCTTCAATTCAGGCTAGAGTTTTGGCTATAGTTCCCAATCCCCAGCTAAGATTTCTGGAAGCTGTAATCAAAACACCAAACTTGTCCAGTTCCTGCTTCCAGAGACCCTTGGACCCTTGGACTACTCAGTAAACATTTATAAACAAATATTGTACTGTTGTGGTTTTTTTTTCTTTTCTTTTTTGGCATGGATTCAATGCCTAATATTTACAAAAGTAGAGAAAATTGTGAAGAGTATATTTACTAATTACTGGGGCTATAATTCCTCTCATGAAGATATAATCTCTTTAGGCACAGAGCTAGTTCCTTACAAGGAAACATCATTGGTTTAATTTCTTTCGTCACCTTTGAATTTTGCAGTTTTCCATGTGTCCTGGAACTCTTTGCTCTCATCTTGGAAATCAACTTTGGGTGAATGATAATAGATTTGCAGTGGCCTTTCCATGACAAAGAAATCTAGGGCTTTATCACATCAGCCTGTGTTCTCAAGGCAACTGTATTGTTGAAGCAAACGGAAACTTACGATTATTGTAACAATCACTTCCATACCTCACTGCAATTGCAACATGCCAGGATGTAGTATAAACTGAACATTAGTCAAAAGCTTGATGTGGCAGCTAAAAAGCCCAATGTGATATAGGGCAGTGTAGAAGAGACCTAGGTTGCAACAATAGAAATAGACTGTCAAGATCAAGACACCACTTTGTTCTGCTTTGGTCAGACCTAACCAAAGCAAATCAAGAAGGTTGTTGTAAGTTTTTTGGGCTATATGGCCATGTTCCAGAAGCATTCTCTCCTGACGTTTTGCCTGCATCTATGGCAGCCGTCTTCAGAGATCACCTCACAACCTCTGAGGATGCCTGGCATAGATGCAGGC